GAATGCAATTGTGGCAGTGGCTCAAACTGCACTTTCCTTTCATCTCTTTTTGGACCGTCAAAAACTTGCAGTTGCAAAAACGGGTATAAAGAAGTGTCCGGCATTTGTACCGGTAAGTTATTTCATTAATTTTAGCTAAAACACATTCTCTAAAGCTGCATGAAGGAACTTTCTTATTATAAATATTAGCGAATAGGACTTAATTATTACTAAAAAGAGCGTATAAAGTAGGCAAATCGTAATAAAATGAAGTGATTTGAAATATTCTCCAAATCGAGCAAAAGATTTAAAAAAAAAATCAAGGAGAAATAATCAAAATGATTGTCAGAATAATAATAGTAACAATAATAATAATAATTACTGAAGTACAAAAAGAATAGTTATGGCAATGTCCCTCGCCATCTAATATTCTGATCTTCTGAAATGGTAATTTTCTTATCACATTTTAGTTGAATGTTTTCTTCCAAAGCTTATCTTTAAGGATATTTTAACTCCCCTCTCATTACATTTTAATTGTCGCTGTATGTGAGAAAAAATGTTAATCTTAAAATTCATAAAAAACATAGTATTTTAAACTTTCATCTGATGTTTTTATAGCAAATGTGATCATTCAAAGCAGTTTTATTATATATTAAGTTATTTTAGTTACATGATTTTACTGTTTTTATTTTAAATGATAGAAATATGACACATTTCATTTATCTACTAATATCTATGTTTTATATAGTTTTTGATTTTTATTTTGGTTAGGAATTTGTGCTACTCTTGCCTATACCGTACTTTTAATCATCAAAATTTTAGGAATTTCATATCATTTATTAAATTTTACACTTGTGAAGAGTATTTTACATTTTAGTAGTTTAACATCAAAATATTAGACGGCTCGTAATCTTTTATTAAGCAAGGCATTTTAAATAATCTTCTAACTGTCCTTAATTTGATTGGTTAAATGCAAAAGCAATGTTAAAAATATTCAACTTATACTTAAAAACATTCACTTTATTTAACAGTTCAGTTCATACACCCGTTAGAGTTTAGAAACTGGCTTACACACACGTTACTCATGGGGGATGGGTAACCACGAAAACTCTCATGCATGCAGCTCATTCACCAGAATTGGAATCCCTGACCGTACTACAGCGACTTTACCGCTCCTTCTCTGTTAGGCTGTATCAAATGGAAGTTTAAGAATAAATTAAAAACCACACAGAATATATCGCTATGTACCGATTATAACCATAGAGATCAAACATATATTCTATACGATTTTCTTTACATTTACGAACATGCTTTTGTCTACATTATTACTTCCTTGTGTGTAATAAAGGAAGTATTGTATTTACGAAAAAGTTTGGATATAACATTTCAATGAAAATATCCAATTTAATCACTCTCGAATCCATCTGAGCGATGTTTTTGCGTGACATCTGCACGTATGGACATAATATAGGGCCTTTTTTACCCCAAAATGGATTGTAAACTGGATTTAGAAAAGATCTTTTTCGTGACGTTTGTACGTATATCTGTGTGCACTTAATCTCGCATAAAGCAAAGAAGTTAACCTCAGAAAGTTGAATTTTTGTACATGGGAGTCCTCTAACATGTAGTTTTGCACCTTCCTTTTTGGTTGCAATCGGTCGCACCAAAAGTATATGTATATAATAATACCTTCTTGGGGAAAAAAAAAAAAAAAAATCTACGAAACTACTATATGAAGAAGCATAACGGAGCAGCCATTTGTTTACACTTGAAACTGAGTAGAAGGGGGAATTAAGTCAGTGTCTTGCGCCTCCAAAGTTTGTTTGCCCAGTGGGACTAAAAGTAAACTTTCAGTTCTGTGCACCGAAAAATCTGCTTTTTATGCCCGCTGGCCAAAATGCTTTATTTTGCGTAGAAACTCTAATTTTAATTGTAAATTTTTTTAACTGCTTAAATGCTATTTGGCGTTTTATGTTTTTCTGTATTTTACAATTTTCAATGAAGATGTTTTGAGTTTTTTTGTATTTTTGCCTTACCGCGAAGTGAGAACTGACTTAATTGAATGAGAAATATATCTCTAAGGAAATTCGAGGAACTAAGTTCAACTGAAATGCAGTAAAAATTGAGTCTAATTTAATAGGCCGTACAAAGAAGTCACGTAGGTCCACATCAGAATTTTTTATTAAATACTTATATGATAACATTGTTATACAATACCTTTAATAAATGGCACAACAGACCAGGGGCACACTTAAGAAATACCAGCATATATTAAATTTCTTTTCTGAAAGTAATACTTAGTACTCTAATTTATAGTCTAAATTACTGTTCAAGAATCTGAAACATTTTCTATTTGACTTCGACAAAACTTATTATATTAGAGCTCATTACATTTTGAAGTATTATCGTTTATGTTATAACATTTTGTCTGTTAACTTACCTAGTGGATATATATGTATATATATATATCAAAAGCGTTTTATTTGATATAATAGCATAAAGTAGCACGTTTCTAGCATGACTATTTTGCCACATTTTACTATTTTTTCTGTTTACTTTGCATTTAAAATTACGCAGTAAATATAGTAAATTTCTTCAAAACTTCAAGCACTTTTAAAATATGCATTTTAATATTTATTCCTAGTGTGTATTTTGACGTTCTTTGTTTTATGCACAATAAATACTTATGGTACCTTGAATCTTTCTTCTTTCAGACCCATGCACTAAGAATCCTTGTCGTAACGGTGGGACGTGCAAGGACACCTATACGTGCTCTTGCCCACCGAAATACGCAGGTGCTAAATGTGAAAAGAAAAAAGGTAAGAATACGTGTTACATTTTCGAACGGAAGTTGTTTTGCAAGTTTTAAAAGTAATAAGCATTTTAAGCAAAATTATTTTTACATTTTGTTTTCAACTGGATGGAATTGCCTCCTAGAGGGGAATTGCATAGTTTCGGGGAGGAAATGACGTCAGCCGTTTATTTAGCTGTTAAGCCTTTAGTTTTAGTTTATGAGTATAGAAACTACTCTTATACAACGCGTACGTTACAAACACGTACGCACGCAACAATGGCATGCAGCCAACGCCCTCACCGTCAGTTTTCGGGAGTGCGTTTATAGCCATCTAAAACACTTCCAAGAAAATGGCATGAAAATGCTTCCAGAACGGAAGGGGAAATTCTGGAGAGGAGTGCATTTCTCGGTCATATTTGTACCACCTTGTCACTATCTATTAAAATTGGTGCCTCTGCTGTTTTGTGTTTTAATCATCTCCTCGGGAAGGTGGTGTAGAGTGAGCGGAAGGTACCGTTGGATCAATTCCGTGGCTCGCCGGATTGACCATCGGCAATCTTCGTGCGACTTAATTAGCCGAGATATTAATTAAAACTGATTTTTCTCCCCTACATTTCCCTACGTTTTTGCACTTTCTTTCACGGGTTTTCCCTATTTTAGGGATTGGCCGAGTGCCAATTCGTTTTTCTTTCTCTGCGGAGGAACGGCTCCGAGTTGCGATTCGAAACGCATATCCCCGTATTCGAAAAATCACGAATCCATCGATACCGTCCCATCTTCGTACGAAATCTCGGCGGTTATTAATTAAAAACTGCGAAAACGTTTTTCATTTTCGGAACCGTGGATAAACTTTTTCGAAAGCCCGGGGGATGACAATTGCTTCCGCTCGAGATTTGTGCTGGCGAAAGGTCAGTGTCAATTTTTTCTTAAATATCTATGGAACGGCGCTAGTTTGGAATTCGAGGCAGGTGTCTGCGGATTCCAAAAATTTCGATCCAATGATCCATTCTCATCTTCGTAGGACGTTAATCAGCTGATATTATTAAAAACTGTGAAACGCTAATTTTCGGGTCATTTTTTCCGATGCAACCGTTCTTGAATCGCCGCAGATACAACCAGTTATATCTAAAGTTGAATAAAGCACGCGATTGCATGTTAACCTTTTTTTAAAATATTTCGTTATGTAGGCATTTTAAAAACAGCTGCTTTTCAAATTTTTTTTTTTAATTTCAGGTTAGGATGATTTCACGTTAATTCTTTTATTGATTTGAATAAAGTATTATATTACATTAAATTTAAATGTGACGTTTCTTGAGTGTACACTTTTAATCAGCTGGATATTAATAAAAATCTGAAAAAGCTATTTTTAAAATATGTTGTTATTTTTTTAATAATAATTTTTTTTTGGAATAATATTTTTTATTCTTATTAGATACGTGCACTTAATTTAGATAATTAATGAATATATTTTAAATAATTCGCACCAATTCCACACTTTTTTTTTTTTTTTTTTTAGATTAAAGATTTTTCTTTGCTCCTTTGAGATGGTATACGAATTCGCCCGGTGAGCAGGCAGGCTACACTCATGTTTTTTGTGATTTTACGCATATCTGTTGTGTAGCAGTTTTCTGGATGCGTAATGAATAAGCTACTCTGGTAGTTCGGTCCTAATTTCGAATCCCGGCGAACGGCTGGGTCCATGGGTGTTTGCGTGATTTTACGCATGTGCCTGTGTACGCAGCATCTTCTGGATGCATAAGTGAATAAAGCGGCCGAATTCGCTCAAAACCTCTGATTACTGGTAGTTCGGTCAACTTTCGAATCCAAGCGACCGTGTTGGCTCAATGTGTGTTTCGGGATTTTCGCATGTGTAACGTGTATGCGGTATCTTCTGCATGATACTTGATAATACGCATCCCGCGCGAAAACCAGAACACTGGGAGTTCGGTCCAAACCTTTCGAATTCCGGGTACTTACATAAATTTGGTCGCATACGTGAATACAGCGCGCGGATACCGGTAAAACCGCTGAACACTGGTATTCGGTCACACATTCGAATCTCTGCGAGCGGGCTGGCTGCATGGGTGTTTTCCGATTTTCCGCATGTGATATGTGATAAGTGATTTCTGGATGCATATGTGATAAAAGTGGCGCAGCCTGCTCAAACCTCTTAACGCTGGTATTCGATCCACTTTCGGTCGGCGACGAGCTGGCTCCCCGGGTTTTTTCTTGCTAACTCAGTGTATCGTTTAGCAGTATCCTCTCCATGCTTATGTGTATAAAGCGGCGCAGCCCGCTCCACAAAATCGCTGAACATGGTATTTCGGTACTTTCGATCCGGGGTACTGTATATAAAATTTGGATGCATACGTGAATACAGCGCGCGGACCGGGTAAAAACCGCTGAACACTGGTAGTCGCTCAACTCGAATCTCGGCGATAACATTGGATGTGTATGAATATAAGTAGCTAATGGATAATATATTTTTTTAGTTATTAATACGTGCATTCATTTATATTATCTTTTAATGCAAATATTTAAATAATTCGCACCAATAAAATTAATTTACACTTTTTTTTTTTTTTTAGATTAAGATTTTTCTTGCTCCTTTGAGATGGTATACGGTACTTTCGAATCCCGGTGAGCAGGGCAGGCTACACTCATGTTTTTTGGATTTTACGCATACTGTGTGTATGCATGTTTCTGGATGCATAAATGAATAAAGCTGAACTTGGTAGTTCGGTCCTAATTTCGAATCCGGCGAACGGGCTGGGGTCCATGGGTTTTTGCGTGATTTACGCATGTGCCACGCAGCATCTTCGGATGCATAAGTGAATAAAAGCGGCCGAAAATTCGCTCAAAACCTCTGATTACTGGTAGTTCGGTCCAACTTTCGAATCCAAGCGACCGTGTTGGCTCAATGTGTGTTTTCGGGATTTTTCGCATGTGTAACGTGTATGCGGTATCTTCTGCATGCATACTTGAATAAAGCGGGAGCAGCCCGCGCAAAACTACAGAACACTGGTAGTTCGGTCCAACTTTCGAATTCCGGGGTACTGTACATAAAATTTGGTCGCATACGTGAATACAGCGCGCGGATACCGGGTAAAACCGCTGAACACTGGTAGTTCGGTCAAACATTCGAATCTCTGCGAGCGGGCTGGCTGCATGGGTGTTTTCCTGATTTTCCGCATGTGTATAGTGTATAAAGTGATTTCTGGATGCATATGTGATAAAAGTGGGCGCAGCCTGCTCAAAACCTCTTAACGCTGGTAGTTCGATCCAACTTTCGGTGTCGGCGAACGAGCTGGCTCCCCGGGTGTTTTCTTGCTTTAACTCATGTGTATCGTTTATGCAGTATCCTCTCCATGCTTATGTGTATAAAGCGGGCGCAGCCCGCTCCACAAAATCGCTGAAACACTGGTATTTCGGTCCTACTTTCGAATTCCGGGGTACTGTATATAAAATTTGGATGCATACGTGAATACAGCGCGCGGATACCGGGTAAAACCGCTGAACCACTGGTAGTTCGCTCAAACTTTCGAATCTCGGCGAGCGGGCTGGCTGCATGGGTGTTTTCGTGATTGTTCGCATGTGTATCGTTTATAAAGTATCTCATGGATGCATACGTGAATAAAGCGGGCACAGAATACTGGTAATGGTAATGCGGTAATTTCGAATCCCGACGAACTGGCTGGCTCCATGGGTGTTTTCGTGATTTTACGCATGTGTATAGTGTATGGAGTATCTTCTGGGTGTATATGTGAATAAAGCGGGCAGAGCCCGCGCAAAGCCACATAACACTGGTAATTCGGTCCAACTTTCGAATACCGGCGAACAGGCAGGCTCCATGTTTGTTTTCGTGATTTTACGCATGTGTATCGTTTATGCACCATCTTCAGCATGCATACGTGAATAAAGCGGGCACAGCACGCGCAAAATCGCTGAAAAAATTGTATTTCGGTCCAACTTTCGAATCGGCAGCGGGCTGGCTGGAGGGGTGTTTTCGTGATTTTACGCATGTGTACGGTGTACGCAGTATCTTTTGCATGCACACGTGAACACTGTTTTGGGCGGGCTCCCGCCCAAAAGCGCTGAACACTGGTATTTCGGTCCAAATTTCGAATACCCGCGAAAGGGCTGGAAGCATGGGTGTTTTCGTGATTTTCCGCATATGTATAGTGTATGCGGTAACTTCTGGATGCATAGGTGAAAAAAGCGGGGGAAGCCCGCGGAATGCCGCTAAAAAATGGTAGTTCGGTTCAACTTTTCAATACCGGCCAAATTTAACATAGGATATCTTTTAAAAACGAACAATGATAAGCGGGCTTCAGCCCGCTCAGCTGGCGGGCTTGCCCGCTAGTCTATACTATTAAAATCTGTGTGCCTCTGTCTGTTTTGTGTGTTTGTAACATCATCTCCTCGGGAACGGCTGGGTGTAGAGCTTAGCGGAAGGTACCGTTGGATTCAGAATGCCCGTGGCTCGCCGGATTGACCATCGGCATCTTCGTGCGACTTTAATTAGCCGAGATATTAATTAAAAACTGATTTTCTCCCTACATTTCCCTACGTTTTGCACTTTCTTTCACGGGTTTCCCCTATTTTAGGGATTTGGCCGAGTGCCAAATTCGTTTTTTCTCGAATATCTGCGGAACGGCTCCGAGTTGCGATTCGAAACGCATATCCCCGTATTCGAAAAAAATCAACGAATCCATCGATACCGGTCCCATCTTCGTACGACAATAATCGGCGGAGTTATTAATTAAAAACTGCGAAAACGTTATTTCATTTTTCGGAGTGGCAACCGTCTCGGAATTAGCTGAGATAAAATTGCTTTTTCGAAAGCGCCGGGGGGATGACAATTGCTTCCGCTCGAGATTTGTGCTGGCGAAAGGTCACGTGTCAATTTCTTTTTTCTTAAATATCTATGGAACGGCGCTGAGTTGGAATTCGAGGCAGGTGTCTGCGGATTCCAAAAAATTCTACGAATCCAATGATACCATTCTCATCTTCGTAGGACGTTAA